GGATATATATATATATATATACACCAAAGTTTCTTTTATTTCTTATACAGTGCCGCGAAATAATACTCATTGGTGAGCCTCTTTCTTATCACGTACACTTGGGGTTTGGTGGTAAATACATTTTTTTTTTCCTTTCTTTTCCTCGGTTTATTCGAGTAGGGGCGATAAATTAACACTATTATTCATTACATACATTATACTGTTTACAGATTACATCTATAATTCTCGTACGCATAGGGTGCACTTAGCATTTTATATTAACTTGAACAAATGAATAATTAATATAATAACGCGATCCCGTAACCGTATACTTAGCAGCAGGTAAAGATAATTACGTGCTTTTTGAAAAATAAATTTGTCTAATTAGTATGTTAATACAAAACCAAACTATGGCGCAGAAAACTAATCTTTGGCCGTTGAAATGGTAACCTCGTAAGTAGGACCTGTTTGTGTTGTGGTGGTTACTAAATTCCGAGCGTTTACTTAACTTCTTACTAGCCACGGGGGTAAGGTTCAACAATTTTTCAAAGATGAAAGTGTGGGTGTGTTGTGCTGCCGTTTTATGAGCTACTCTCTATATGATGAACATGATATTGTGGTGTGTGTAAACTTTGTAGGCACCGATTATCGAGCGACGGAAACTATATATTATGGGTGTGCAACAACAAAGCGTGAGTCAATGAGGAATAAAACTCTTATTTTAGAATTTATAATTTTTTTTTTTTTTTAAAGAATATTAAAACTAAACAGTCACAACAATGTGGTTCTGATATGCTTAAGTTATCATCTTATTCCAACATCCTGGCATGAAAAATTAATATTATTTCGAATATATCCACTTCTAAATACACTTTTTGAGAACTGGCAATTAGGCATAATGAATTTTTTTATTTTTTTAAATTAAACAATTAAGTAAGTCTCATTTTTTTTCAAAAACCAGAAAAGCATACAGTTAATTGAGCGCACAGTGGATGCATCGCATCATACAGATAAAAAATAATGTGTAAATACGACGGATAAGGAGTTACAGTGAATGATGAATGTGACACATACATATACTTATATTTCAACATCAAGCGGTTAGGTTAATGTGCATATAATGGTGCGTGTACCTCGGAAACGTGCTAATTGTACCTAAAAGAGTCGGCTCGAGTTCCCGGCGATCGAAATTTCTCGACAGCCTAATTACATGACAGAAGGAGAGCGCTTTCTTTCTTTCTTTCTTTACTGCCAAAGTTCGTTTCGAACTCGCATGTATAAGTAATATATACACAGTTGTGCACGTTACGCAGGTCAACTTTCTATACAACTTCGTTGCTGAATGCAAAATTACGCTGTATTACACATGTTGCGCGCATGAGTATTTTGTAGCCAGAGGCGGTAATTGAAAAATTTTTCAGGTCCGGGGTCCCCTTTCCCTTTTCTTGTGTAATGTAACCCGAGCTCTCGAAACCCCCGTGATCCGAGGATTCTTAACCTAATAAAAAATAATAATAATAAAAATAATAATAATAATAATCAGAGTTTTTAAAACCTTCAATAATGATTATCATTGGAATACTGATTCTCTGTTTTACATCTTACAACTTTTATTCGAACGAGAAACTTTAGTTTTAAGGAGGCAAACAACTAAACATCATTGACTTTTTGCTTGCGAAAAAAAAAAAAATTAGTTTTGATAAATAAGAGAGTTATTGGTTTGATCACAGAGCAAAATAATTAAATAAGCTTCCTAATGGATGAACTTCTTGTATAAAATATAATACCCGCTATACTTACGTAATTATTTTACCTTTGCGAACTCTGATATTTTACGGAAAAAAATTTTAAAGCTGCAGCGCGTGACCGGGTTCTTAAGTTTATTGGTTGAATTTGAAAGTGAATGACAAAAATCTTAACCACCGAAAAATTTCATGTATTTTTCTCGTATACAGCCCTAATCATTTTTGCAACACTAGAGAATTCAATAAGCTGTGAAAAAAAAAATTTTTTCAATCGTCTCGGACGCACACAACCCACGGATATCAAAAACAACGGCAACCTTTTTTTTTACCTCAATTTTTTACACACTCGCACACAAACACATTTACATGACGCACCCGTGTATATATATTATATTCATACACGTGGGTAAACGTACAAGTACAAGCAACGATACTTATATATACATGTCGAGGACGCACAAGCGTTATAC